TCACATTACCTGACGCTGACACTGGACGAGGCTGAGGGGCTGCTCTACGTGGGGGCTCGGGAGGCCCTGTTCGCCCTGGCCACCGGCACTGTGGAGCTGAAGGCAGCGGTGAGGCCCCGGAACCCCCAGAACGAGGGGAGGTTTTGGGGGGAGATTCTACCCCCCTCACACGTTCTGTGCCCCCAGATCTCCTGGGAAGCCCCGGTGGAGAAGAAGGCTGAGTGTGTGCAGAAGGGCAAGAACAACCAGGTGGGTGCTGTGGGTGCAGTAGGGGGGCTTGGGGCACCCTGGGAGGGCTCCCCCTTTGTGGACACCCCATTAATGTTCCCTCTGTCACCCCCCCAGACCGACTGCTTCAACTACGTGCGGTTCCTGCAGAGCTACAATAGCTCCCACCTCTACGCCTGCGGCACCTATGCCTTCCAGCCCAAGTGCACCTACATTGTGAGTGGGGTGGGCCCAACATCTGGTGGGGCCCCAGTGCCCCCCTGTACCCCAGGATGAGGCCCAAGAGCATTTATGAGGGGTGTCCCTATCCCCAGGGGTGGCATTCAGGGGTGCCCCTGTGGGCATGGGGGTGTCTTTTGCCCGTGAGGTGGGTTTGGGGAGGGTCTCCTATGGCCTTGGAGTGTTGTTGGCATGTCCTCTGGCGTACCCAGAAGGGTCATCTGGGGCGTGTCCCTGTCCACAGGGGTGATATTCACTTCCTTGTGGGCAGGGGAGTGTCTTGTGCTCATGCGGGGGGAAGATTGGGGGTGTCTTCTCTGCCCTTGGAGTGTTGTTGGGATGTCCCTGTCCACAGAAGGGTCATCCAGGGATGTCACTGTATCCAGGAGGTTCATCTGGGGTCATATCCTGTGCCTGGGATATGACAATAATGTTTGGGCATTGGGTGACATGAACTGAGCAGGCGGTCGGGACCCCCACCCACTCCTGTGCTCCCCAGGAACTGTCCGGCTTCACCCTGGACCAAGTGGCATTTGAGGATGGCAAAGGGAAGTGTCCCTATGACCCCACCAAGGGGCACACTGGCCTCATCGTGGGTAAGTAGCACCACTGGGCACCTACTGGGCTCAGAGGGGTGCCCACCGTGCCCCCCACCCCCTTAATACTCCTCCCTCACAGATGGGGAGCTCTACTCAGCCACCTTCAACAACTTCCTGGGCACGGAGCCTGTCATCTTGCGCAACCTGGGCCCGCACTACTCTATGAAGACGGAGTATCTCACCTCCTGGCTCAATGGTAGGGATGGGGGACACACAGGGACAGTGGGGTCAACCATGTCCTGGGGACATCAGGCCCAGCATTGCTGGCCAGGCGAGGGAGGGGATTGTCCCACTCGGCTCTGACCTGTGATGGCCTCACCTGCAATATCGGGGCAGTTTGGGGTACCACAATATAAGGAAGATATTGAGCCATTAGAGAGTGTCCAAAGGAGGCAATGAAGATGGAGAAGAGCCTTGAGGGGAAACCATGTGAGGATGCTAAGGGCATTTGGTCTGTTCAACTGGAGAAGAGAAGATCGAGGGGAGACCTCACTGCAGTTAAAGCTTCCAGGGGAGGGGCACAGGAGGAGCAAACGCTGAGCTCTGCTCTGTGGGAACCAGAGACAGGACCCCAGGAAATGGCCTGAAGTTGTGTCAGGGGAGGGTTTAGGTTGGATATTAGAAAGAGGTTCTTTCCCCAGAGGGTGATTGGACACTGAACAGGCTCCCCAGGCAGTGGGCACAGCACCAAGGCTGCCAGAGCTCAAGGAGCATTTGGATGATACTCTGGGACACAGGGTGTGACTCTTTGGAATGGGCCTGCGCAGGGCCAGAAGTTGGACTCGATGATCCTTGTGGGTCTCTTCCAACTGAGCACATTCTGTGACTCCCCCACCCTCACATGGTGTCACCCCATGTTTCCCCAGAGCCCCACTTCGTGGCCTCGGCATTTGTGCAGGAGAGCTCGGGCAGCAGCACTGGCGATGACGACAAGGTGTATTTCTTCTTCAGCGAGCGTGCAGTGGAGTATGACTGCTATGCCGAGCAGGTGGTGGCCCGGGTGGCCAGGGTGTGCAAGGTATGGAGGGGACACCACAGGGACACCAAAAATCGGGATAGGAACTCTCCAAGCGGTTTTTTGGGTTGGAAAGCTGATGTTCCTTTGTTGGGTGCACCCAAATGCACCCCCAGCACCCACTACAGCAGGGGATGGGTTGTGTGACACATTCATTATGTTTCCTGAATAATCTGCTAATTATTTCCATGGATTTATTTGGATATGAGTAAGGGTCTTTTGAGAGTCTTTGGTGGTCGTTTGGGAACATCCCATTCCCCAGTTTTCCCTTTGATGGTTCTGGATCTTCTGGTGAATCTCTTCTCCGTCTCAAATACATGGTCAGGTCATGGTGCCCCTTCTCTAATTAGTTTTTGCTCTGACACACAACCCTTGTTCCCAAAACAAAGACATTTTCAGACTAATCACTGATATAAGGCAGCAATAGCTGGCATGAGACTATTAATCACTGATCAAATACTGTTGTACTGAAGTTAATTGTCCAACACCTTCCCCCATCCTGCACAGACCCTTTGTAACCAGTTTGGTGTCACTGTGGTGGCTGTGCCATGCAGTGACTGTGGCCTTTTCCCTGTGCACAGGGGGATGTGGGCGGTGCCCGGACACTCCAGAAGAAGTGGACGACATTCTTGAAGGCCCGTTTGGTGTGCTCAGCCCCGGAGCAGCAGCTCCACTTCAACCGGCTCCAGGCTGTGTTCACCCTGCCTGGGGCTGAGTGGCAGGAAACCACCTTCTTTGGGGTGTTCCAGGCCCACTGGTGAGTTCAGGGGAATGTGGCATGCCAGGGATCCCCAGAAGGGAGGGTTCCTGCCCCAAACCCTCCTGTGCCTGCAGGGGGGACGTGGATGTCTCGGCCATCTGCCGGTACCACATCCTGGAGGTGAAGAAGGCATTTGAGGGGCCCTACAAGGAATACCGGGAGCAGGCGCAGAGGTGGGGCCGCTACTCGGATGAGGTGCCCAGCCCCCGGCCCGGAGCGGTGAGTGGGCACTGGGGACTGAGGGGGAGGGGTGGGATCCATCCATGTGGCTGAGGGCCATCAGTGCCCTCCTAAGAGGGTTTGGGATCCCTCCCGCTCCTGACAGTGCCCCTGTGCCCTCCCTGCAGTGCATCACGGACTGGCACCGGCAGAACGGCTTTGCCAGCTCCCTGGAGCTGCCCGACAACACTCTGAACTTTGCCAAGAAGCACCCACTGATGGACGAGCCAGTGCGGCCGCAGCGTGGGCGCCCACTGTTGCTCAAGAAGGACTCCAACTTTACCCAGCTGGTTGTGGATCGCGTGGCTGGGCTGGATGGCACCATCTATGAAGTGCTTTTCATCGGCACAGGTACCTGGGGCAATTGGGAGGGCATGGAGGGGACGGTCCATGCTATGGCACAGCCCTGAGCACCTGCCCTGCTCGCAGGCAACGGGTGGGTGCACAAGGCGCTGGATTTGGGCACTTCCATCCACCTGGTGGAGGAGCTGCAGGTGTTCGAGCCGGCACAGCCTGTGGAGAGCCTGGTGCTGGCTGGGAGGAAGGTGAGTGGGGCTGCAGGGCCAGGGGTGGCACCGTGGGGCACCTTGGGGCAGGGTCATCTCAGCCCAGGGGTGGCACTGCGGGGACACCTCAGGGTGGGGTCACCTCACCCCAGGGGTGGCACCATGGGGGCACCTTGGAGTGGGGTCACCTCAGCCCTTTTCCCTGCCCTCGTAGAAGCTGCTCTTCGCCGGCTCCCGTTTCCAGGTGGCCCAGCTACCCCTGGCCGACTGTGGGCGGTACCAGTCGTGCACAGACTGTGTCCTGGCACGGGATCCCTACTGCGCCTGGAGCCGGAATGGCAGCGCCTGTGTCTGGATTGATGGGCAGAATGGGTACGGGATGGGCTGGGGGATCTCTCATCCAAAACTTTCTCATGGGAGGAACTGGAGGGGCAGCTCCATCTCTGTGACCAGTGACAGGACCCTGGAACAGCTAGAACTGTGCCAGGGGAGGTTTAGGTCAGATATTGGGAAAAGGCTCTTACTCTAGATGGCAGTTGGGCACTGAACAGGCTCCCCAGGGCAGTGGTCACAGCCCCAAGGCTGCCAGAGCTCAAGGAGTGTTTGGACAACGCTGTCAGGGACAGGGTGGATTTTGGGGTGTCCTGTGCAGGGCCAGGCATTGGACTGGATGATCCTTGTGGGTCCCTTCCAATATTCCGTAATTTTAGAAGTTGGGGAATGTTTAGACAGCACTCTCAGGTGTTGGGATTTGGGGACTGAGGGGGACTTCTGGGGGTGTCCTGTGCAGAGCCAGGAGCTGGACTCATCCTTGTGGGTCCTTCCCAACTCAGGATATTCTGTGATTCTGTGTGTATGGGGCTCCCCTGGAAGGGGGCGACACCCTACAAGGACCCCCCCTCACTGCACTCCCTCCTCCCACAAGGTCCCACCTGGTGCAGGACGTCCTGAGCTCCGACACTGGTGCCTGCTCCGTCCCTCAGGCAGCCAAACAAGGTGAGCCCGCCGTGAGCCACATGGATCCCCATTCCCCTTCCCCCCACTTCCTCCTGACCCCCCTCTCTCCCTACAGGGCCACTCACCCCCAAGAACGTGACGGTGGTGGCAGGCACCGACCTGGTGCTGACGTGCCGCCTGGGCTCCAACCTGGCGCGGGCACAGTGGACATTTGAGGGTCGTGCGCTGCCAGCCGAGCAGGCGCTGGTACTGAGCGACACACGGCTGCGGGCGCTGGTGGTGCCGGGCGCCGGTGCCCAGCACAGTGGCACATACCGTTGCCTGGCCGAGGAGCAGGGGGCCCCCCTGGGTGCCCAGGAGTACCGGGTGGCTGTGCTGGCGGGGCCCAGGGTGCTGCTAGAGGCACGGGCGCCTCTGGAGAGCCTGGGTGTGGTGTGGGTGCTGGCTGTGTGCCTGGGTGCCCTGTGCCTCGTACTGCTGCTTGCCGTACTCTCGCTGTGGCGGCGCCTGCGTGAGGAGCTGGGCAAGGGCACCAAGGCCATCGAGAGCACCCTGGTGTACCCCATTGAGCTGCCCAAGGAACCGCCCAGCCCCCGCTTCGTGTCCAGCGCCACCTCCGACTCGGACGAGAAGCTCTGGGACCCCTCCAGCTATTACTACTCAGATGGGTCCCTGAAGATCGTGCCTGGCCATGCCACCTGTCGCAATGGCGGCCCTGGCACCGCCACCTCGCCGCCCGCTGCCATCCCTGGGCAGCCCCTGCACTCACCCACCCGCATCCACCTGGGCCCCCTGCGTGGCTCCTCATCCAACGGGTACATCCGGTTGGCGCTGGGCGCCGAGGAACGCCCACCCTGTGCTGACCTGGCTGAGGAGCTGCGGCGGAAGCTGCAGCAGCGCCAGCCCCTACCTGACTCCAACCCTGAGGAGTCGTCAGTCTGAGCTGGAGGGAATGGCACCATCTACCTCAGGGCCCCGCCCCAGACCCCAGGGTGGGCACCCTGGCCTAGGGACTGGCACCGGCACCCAATTTGGGGCTGGGGGGTGGGTGCTGGCACCTGCCCTGGGGACAGGATTGTTGCCTCAGTGCCAGTATCCACCTTGGGAACTGATATGATGGCACGGGTACTCGCCTTGGGGACAGGGTTGTCACCCTGATACCCATTTTGGGGACAGGATTGTCACCCTGGTGCCAGCACCCACCTTGGGGACAGGATTGTCAGCCCAGTGCCAGTACCTATGTTAGGTACTGACACACGGGCACTGGCACCCACCTTGGGGACAGGAGTGTCACCCTGGTGCCAGTCCCCCACTTTGGGGACAGGATTGCCACCTGTCTTGGGACTGTGGCTCTGGCCCTGTGTCACATGTTTAGGGCACCAGTACCTGCTTTGGGAACAGGACTGGCACCCCAGTGGCGCCACCCACCTTGGGGCAATGGCACCAGGACTATATCACACATTTCGGGCACTGGCACCCACCTTTGGGGACAGGAGTGTCACCCTGGAGTCCGTAACTGCCTTGGGGACAGGATTGTCACCTGGTACCTGCCCTGGCAATGGGATTCCTATCCTGACACCACCTTGGGGACAGAAGTGTCACCCTGACATCCACCTCGGGTTGTCACATTTGAGGTCCCAGTGCCCATCTTGGGCCCCGGAGCTGCCCTGGTCACTGCCCCCACCTTCGGTACCATGTCCCCCACGAGGGACAGACCTTGGGGACCCCCGCCTCCCCGGGCCCACTTCCCGGTGGCCCCAGGATGTTTTTTGGGCTGATTTCTGAACCGATCGAGTTTTTCTTCCTGAGAACTTTTCTATTGCCCCCACCCCACTGTCCCACCTCCCAGGGCTCTGCTTCCCCCCCAACCCTGGCTGTACATCACCTCCCAACCCTCCGCCTGCCCCCTTTGCACGGACCCCTCCCCTTTTGTATAACCCTCCCAGTGTAATTTATTTGTTACTGAAATATATTTATTTGCTGTAAATACGTGAGTATTTTTATATTAATAATAAAAGGAGTTGAAAATTTGAATTCTCTCTGAAAAGTGACACCCGCAGGGGCCGTGGCCGGTGCTGGGGGGGATGCTGGCCACCCCCCCGGGTGCTGAGCTCATGGAAAAAGGCTCATAAAAGGGCTATAAAAGGGCATCGTGGTGCCGTTCCCAGGCGGGGGGGCCGTGGCTGCCCGTGCCCCCCCTCCCCGGATGCGGGGGAGTCAGCGCGGAGGGGGGTCCCCGGGGAGGCTCTGCTGGGAAACTAGACGGAAGCAGGACCAGGATGCTGAGGAGCGGGGGGTGGGGGGAGAGGGCTTGGGAACGGGGCCAGGGGTGGCACCAGGGCGTGGGAAGTGGGGCTGGGGGTCCCTGAGCCCCCTGGGGTGGGAGGGTGAGGACTGGGGGCTCTGAGACTCCCACTGCTGAGGGGAGGATGGGGTTTGGGATCCCAGAGCCAGGAGAGGAGAGGTCTGGGGACCTCCCAAGTGTGTGTTGGGTGATTCCTATGCCACCTAAAGTAGGAAGGGGTGACCCTTGGGATCCCCATAGTGGGGAGGGGAGCCCTGACACTCCCATAACTGGGGGGAGGGACTCGAGATCCCAATTGCTGAGTGGAGGGGTGAAGCTTGGGGACCTCACAGCTGGGACAGGAGAAGCCTGGGGACCTCATAAATGTGTGTGAGTGGTCCTTAGGCCCCCATAGCACGGAGGGGGTGACCCCTGGGTCCCCCATGGAGGAGGGGGTAGGCGGACCCTCCCTAAGGGGGGGCTTGGAGGCCCCGTGGGGGCGGGAGTGGCTGCTCAGCACAGGGCGGGCGCGGACGCCCTCTGGCGGCGGCTCCGGGGCACTGCGGGGGAGGGGGCTTTGCCTCGGGGGCGGGGCCGCTGGGCTGCATTCGGCGCTTTCCGTCTTACTTCGCCATTTGTCGTCAATCTTCGGCCCTTTCCGCTTTCCCTCGGCCCTTTCCGTCTTACTTCGCCCTTTGCCGTCAATCTTCGGCCCTTTCGTCACTCTCCGTCTTCGGCCCAGCCGTCCCCCGGTCCCTCCGGTCCCCCCGGGGACATGGCCGGGGGTCGCCGCTCTCCACCTGGTCCGTCCTGCCCAGGGCAGGGCGCGATGCCCGGTTCTTGCTGCCCGGGGCCGGTGGCCGTTCCCAGCGTACACCAGAGCCTGTCCGAGATGGACTTCGAGCGGGGTCCGGGGGGCTCCGGGGGTTCCGGGGGGCTCCGGGGGTGCTGGGGGGCTCCGGGGGTGCCGACGGGATGGGTGGAGGTGCCGGTACCGGGAGCGTACGGGGGGGGCTCTGGGCAGGGGTACCCGGTACCGGTGGCCCTAGGGCAGCCCCGTAGGTCGGTCCCGGCCTGACCTGGCCCCACTGCCCGCAGGGATCTGGGCGGCCGCGCGGGACGGAGACGAACCGCGGCTGCTGCGGCTGCTGGAGCGGCGCGGGGACCCCGGAGAGCCCGACCGGGCGGGGTACACGGCACTGGTACGGGGCTCTGACGGTCCTGGGGGGTACACGGCTTGCGGGGCCACGACATGGGGGGGCACACGGCCCCTGGTACGGTGGGCACGAGGGGGTCCCGGGGGTCTCAACCTCGCGGGTACCCCCGTATGGGGAGCCCGGGGATCCTGGCCCACCTGCCTACTCTCTTCCCCCCCTCCCCCCTCAGCACTACGCCAGCCGTAATGGCCACCTGGGGATATGTCGAATGCTGCTGGAGCGGGGGGCTCCCTGCGACGCCCGGACACCCGGCGGGGCCACCCCCCTGCACCGCGCCTGCTATTGCGGCCACCTCGCCGTGAGCCGCCTCCTGCTCCAGCACGGGGCCGACCCCGCGGCCACCGACGGCGACGGGCGGACCCCCCTACACAAGGTGGGGGGCATGGGGGGACCCTCTGTCCTTGGCACTGAACAAGGTGGAGGGATTACAGGATGTAGGGACCTCCTGCACAGGGTGGGAGAGGGGCAAAGAGGGTCCCCCTGTCCTGGCACTGCACAAGGTTGGCGGGGGGACACGAGGGGAGGGACCTCTTGAACAAGCTAGGGGTTGCACCGAGAGAGAATCCCTGCACAAGGTGGGGGGCGATACAGGGGGTCCCCTCTCTCACACAAAGTGGGTGAGGGCCCAGGGTCTCCCCTCCCATGGCATGACCTGCACAAGGTGGTTGGGGGGCAGGGGAGTGTTCCACCTGCAGAAGGTGGGGGCCCTGGTGTCCCCTCTCCCCCTCAAGGGAGTCCCCTTTCTCACCCAAGGTGGGTGGGTGGCTCGGGGGGCTGTCTCTCTGTCCCTCTGGGGATCACACGAGTGCCCTCTCAGGCAGCGGAGCAGGGACACCGTGAGCTCTGTGCACTCCTCCTGCGGCTCTGCCCATCTCTGGCCACACTCCAGGATTTCAGGAGCCGCCTCCCACGGGATGGGGCCCACCCGGATGTGTGGGACCTGCTGGACACCTGAAGGGACACAGGACACCTGGAGCCACTCCTGTGGGACCTCTGGAGGCATCTCCAATGGACAAACACAGCCCGTGGCACCGACTCTGTCCCCTTGTCACCTGTTCCAGGGGCCAGCGTAGGGGGAGTCATACCAGGATGGAGGTGCAGACACCCCTCACGCCTTCCAGTGACTTTGTTTCCTAAAAAAACCCACTAAAAGTGTAGAAAACAGTTTGTTGGAACAGTAAATTCCACAGGAGGTGGGAGGGCTTTGGTGCTTCCCCCTGGGGTGGCTGGGAGGGAACAGAAGCTGCTCAGGGGATTCCGGGGGGGATCCACATCTCACTGTGGGGGGAGGCAGGGGCAGGAGGACCACGGATGGAACCTTGTCCTTAAGTGGTTGGGCACTGATCCCGCTTATCCAGGATCTCCAGCAGCACCTTTTCCTCCCTGACCTCAGAGTAAAGTCTCCACCTTTGTGGGTGCCTAGGTGGGACTTCATGGAATCCTCAAATGGTATGGGTTGGAAGAGACCTTAGAGCCCATCCAGTCCCACCCCCTGCCACAGGCAGGTACACCTTCCACTAGATGAGGTTGCTCCAAGCTCAATCCAACCTGGCCTTGAACACTTCCAGGGCTTGGGCAGTGCTGGGTGCCACACCTGGGATTCCCTCCCTGAATCACCAGGCACCCCAACCCCTGTGAACCACAGCAGAGACCCACGTACAGATATAGACTTTTATTACCCATCTGGCAAAAAATCCCTCAAAAAACGCCCAGGAAATAAAATCCCACGGTTGTTTCACAACCACGAGGGGGCAGGGGAGGACTGGGGAGGGGTAGACCCTGGCGTCTCCCCTCCCCCCCACTGGGCCCTTCCCTCCCCAAACATACAAATCAAACCTGAACAATAAATAGGAATTCCCAGGGGAGGGGTTAGGGGTTTGCATAGAGGAAGATTTAATTAAAAAAAAAGGGTTTTTTTTGTCCTGGCTTATTATTATTAATTATCATTATTATTATTATTAATTATTATTATTCTCTCTAAAAATGTCCCTGCAGAAGGACCTCTAGGAACTGATCGTCGAGACATGATTAACAAAAATAATTAATTAACCTTCTCCCAATAACTTACAGAGTTCAAACCAGGGAACTTGTGCTTTTTTTAGTGGGGGGTCTCCCCCTTTCCCAAAATTGGGAATAAACCCCGAGGGAGGGGGGTCCCGATGGCTTTGGGGGTCCCCCAGTGCCAGGGGGGGACACACGACCCCCTCCTGCCTGTACAACTTTGGTCACTAGCACTGTGTCACCCCCAAAAAAACCCCAAAACTGGGATCCTGGTGCACCCCCTCCACTCCCCTCCCCTCCACCCCTGTACCAATCCCTGTCCTCCTTCCCCGAGACCCCCTATGGTGGGGGGAAGGCACCGAAACCCCGCCGGGGGAGGTCCCAGGGAGATCCAAGCCCATCCCCGTGTCCCCGGCCAGCAGGAAAGGGGGTTGGGAATGGGGAGGGGCTGCAGTACAATCAGTACAACAAGTCCCTGATACCAAAAACACCCCAGAGGGGCAGGAACTCCCATCCTGGGGGGGTCTGAGGGGCTGGGACCCCAATCTCGAGGGTCCCAACGTGGTGTAGGAGTCCCAAGGGCTCGGGACACCCATCCCAGAAGGGTGTAGAAGTCCTGAGGGATCTGGGATGCCCATCCTGAGGGTACCACAGTGGTGTAGGAGACCCCAAGGGGCTGAGATTTCCATCCTGGGACCCCCCAAAATGGTGTGGGATTGGGACCCCCATCCCAGGCTGGTGTAGGAGCCCTGAGGGACCGAGATTCCCATCCCAGGGGATCCCAAAGGGCTGGGATGCCCATCCCACGGTCCCACCGTGGTGTAGGAGAGCTGAGGGCCCAGAACCCCCATTACAGGCTGGTGTAGGAAAGGGAACATCCATCCCATGGGTCCCAGTGTAGTGCAGGAGCCCTGAGGGGGTGGGATGTCCATCCAGGGGGTCTGAAAGGGTCAGGACACCCATCCCATGGATCTGAAAGGGCCAGGACATCCATCCCGAGGATCCCAAAGGACCAGCCCATCCATCCCAAGGGTCTTGAAGGGCCAGAATGTCCATTCCGAGGATCCCAAAGGGCAGGGACATCCATCTCCAGGGTCCTACCGTGGCAAACAAGACCCCAACGTCCCTGAGCTGTGTGGGCGGTGCCTTTGGTGCCACCTCCGCCACTGCTCCAATCAATCCCAAAAAAAACGAGCCAGCCTGGAAACAGCAGCAAATTCCAGCTCCTCCATTCTTCACTGTGCTGTTGTCACTCCTCCTGGCTCATATTCCAGTGGCAGCCAAATCCTGCCGGGATGGAGGTCCCTGCACCGAGCACGCCCTGGGCCCTCCAGAGCGCGCCGGCGCTGGCCGGGGTCAGACATTGTTGTTCTCCATGGAACTGTGGTTGCTCCGGCGGCCCTGGCAGTTCCTGTCGTTCAGGAGGCTCGTGGTCTCGTCTGCAGGGGCCGAAGGCTCCGGTCTCTCTGGATTGTCGGGGCCTGGTCTGGGGGAGTTGCTGTTGCTGTCAGGGGACTGGGGACAACTGTCCATGCGGGAGGCCGTGAGGCCATTCAGGTATTCCTGGCGCGTGATCTGGGCAGGGGAAAAACAGGGATGAGGGAGGGATTCCTGGTGTTTCCCTGTCCCCGTTCCCAGTGTTTCCCTGTCCCCATTCCCAGTGTTTCCCTGTCCCCATTCCCGGTGTTTCCCTGTCCCCATTCCCGCTGTTTCCCTGTCCCCATTCCCGCTGTTTCTCTGTCCCCACTCCTGATGCTTTGCTGGTCCTAGTGTTTCCCTGTCCCCATCTCTATCTCTGATGTTTCCTTGTCCCCATTCCCAGTGTTCTGTCCCCATTCCCAGTGTTCTCCTGTCCCCACTCCCAGTGTTCCCTGTCCCCCTTCCCAGTGTTTCCCTGTCCCCCTTCCCAGTGTTTCCCTGTCCCCAGTGTTCCCTTGTCCCCACTCCTGCCCACCTTGACGAACTGGAGGTCTGTCAGTGCCCGGAGGCTGAAATCAGCCACGTACTGGTTCCCAGTCCCGCTGAGCTGGTTGGTGCTGCCACTCACAGCCGATGACATGGACTCGGAGCGCTCGTGGTTGCTCAGGGAGGCCGAGCGGGCCAGGCCGCTTCCACGAGATGGGGACCGAAATTCTGGGGGATCAGAGGGGTGGGGTGAGACCCCAGAGCCCCTGGAACTGGGAAGAGACTATGGAGCACTGGGGAGGGGGCTTGGAGCTCAGCCCAGTCACAAGGGCCAGGACCTACATCCCAGGGCATCCCACACCTGTCCCAGGGCATCCCAAGGTGGTGCAGGAGCCCACCCTATCTACGAGGCTCCATGTGTGGCTACTCAAGGACCCCAAAGCTGGGTAGTGGGATTCAGCCCAGGTGTTCCTGTGGACACGCTGCCCAACCCAGGGGACACCAACGGGGCTCAGAGCCTCCGGCATCTTCTACCTGCAAGCCCTATCTTAGGGAGCATCCTGAGGGATCAGGGGGGTCTTACCAGATCCAGGAGGGGGGCTGAGGGCCATCACCCCGTAGTAGGTAAACGGTCCTGCCTCAAACTTCATGCACTCCCTGCCAGCCTCCACCTCCACCTTGCCCTGCCAGGGGAGACATTCCATAATCCACATCCTTAGGGATGAGACCCCTCCTCTCCCCACAGCATTCCCAGGGGAATGGAGGCCCCCAGGAACCTGCCAAACCTGCAGGATGAGGATGAAGTAGTCAGCAGGCTTGTTCTTGCAGTAGAGGTAGTGCTGGGGGGATTTCTTGTCCTCCTCGTTGAACTTAAGCTCCTGGATGACATCAGAATACCCAAGGAGCCGCAGCAGGATCTTCTCTGACATGAGGGTGGGGCTGAAAAGTGGCACCTCTGGGAGAAAGAAAAGGAGTCACACATGGTTTTGTCCTTCCAGCAGTAGGTGCAACCTCCCCATCCCCTGGGATGGTGCCTGGGACGGGAAGGGCTCCATCAACAGCTCCCTTTGGGAAAACCCATGGATCCAGCTCCAGGACCCCAGCAAGGGCATTATTCCCTTGGGACAGGATCATCCTAGAGGTCCCCAGCCTTGGGAATAGGATCATGCTGAAGGTCCCCACCCAGATCATCCCAGAGGGACAGGGCCCTGTCAGAGGCAGGTCTGGCATTCCCAAACCTCATCCCTTCCCATTTTGGGCGAGGGGGAGGCAGAGTGAAGGAAAGCAGGACAAGACCCATCATTTCTCCATGAGATGGTTGGAGCAACTCCTTGAGTCTCCAGGGCTGGAGCTGGCATGAGGGATACGGGCACACACCAAGCCCATCCCGCTCCATTGTGGGTTTCCCTCCCTCACAGGGAGCTCCCCGTTCCCAAAACTCACCAGTCAGGAGGAACCTGTGGGCAGCCAAGAGGAGCTGAGGGGATACCTTGACCTTTTGCTCGCTGACGGGGTCCTTGAAGGCTGAGAAGTCCCTCCTGTTCTTCTGGTTGGTCACACGCTTCCGGCTGCGGTTGTCGACTGTGGGGGGCAGGAGTCAGCTCTGGGGGGGCTGGCAGGACCCCTGGCACGGGGTGGAGGGAGGATCGGTCCAGGGTGGGTGGGAACAGCCCATGGGGGGACAGGAGCAGCCCACTGGGGGACAGGATCTCCCCATGGAAGGACAGTATGATGGGAAAGGGGGGAGCCCCAATACCTACTGTAGGTGTCAGACTCATCCAGGATCTCGGACTTGATGATCTCCTCAATCACATCCTCCAGGGTCACCAGCCCCAGAACCTCGTAGAAGGGATCCCCCTCCCCCTCGTTGTTCACCTTCTGCACAATGGCCAGGTGGGATTTCCCTATGGATACATAGAGATGTTGGAATGCGAGACACCCCAACACCCTGGGATGTCCCTGGGCCCGGCCCTTCCCTCCCCAGAGCAATAAACCAATTCAAATCTAACAATAAACCAATTAAAACCTAAATATTAAACCAGTTAAAACCTAAACCAGTTCAAATCTAAACAAGCCCTTGGGCTGGGCTTGGCTCCCAAGGTAATTAAGCCCAGGATGGTAATTAAGGCTGGGACTGAGGTGCCTTCCAAGCTGAAGCACCTGGGAGCTGCCTTGGGATGTGGGATTGGCTAAGGGCATTCCAGGGGATGGGATGACACCAGAGCAACCATGTCACCACCACCACAGCCACCAGGAATTGTGTTCCACCCAGAATTCCTTTCCCAAATTCTTTGGCAGCTCTTCCAAGCTGATCCCATCTCAGAGGAAATGCTCTGGACACCTGGTGTCCACCCGATCCCAGAGCCAAAATACCCCAGAGAACAGAGCCAAGGGCCCTGGCCAGCAGCAGTAAGGTCCTTCCAGGCAGGAAAACCTTCAAGTCCTAGATTCAGGGCTCCCGTCATCCCATTCCAGCAGGATTCCAGCTAAATCCCAACCACTGAAATCACCCTGCCCTAGCTGCTCCATGGAATGGAGTTTCTCCTGCTCTGTCCCAAAATCCTGCAAAACCAGCAGGAAAAATTCCTGGGATGTTTCTACTTCCACATGGAAAATGGTATCCTTATCCTGGGGAAACTGGGGCTTGGAGAGGGCAACATTCCCTCCCTGATTCAGTGCATCCCAAAATAATAGCACTTTTACCTTCTCAAGGCCTACACGGGGTGTCCCACTTGTGTCCTGCTCCAGCTTTATCCCAAACCTGCCCTTCCTGACCCTCTCCACTACTTAATTTTAGAGCTACAGGCCCCTCATTACTGAGGGAAAGGGGAATTTAAGGGATGGGCACCACACAGATCTCCTTTTCTTCCCCTTCTGGCCATGCTCCTTCCACAGTGCTGGAAAAAGGTGGTGCCTGAAGGCGTGGGAACGCCCAAAAACTGTTGTTTGGGTTATTAAACCCCCTTTATGGCCCTGTTTGATGCCTGGGTGGGGCATGGTGGGGACAGGTGACGGAACTGGGGCCGGTCCAGGTGAGTCAGGAGCTGCTCCCTGTGGGATGAGTGGGACAGGGAGCGGTCCAGATACAGCAAACATAGCCTGGGGAGCCCAAACCCACAGGCAAAGGGCACCTGGATGGGCATCACCAGGTAGTGACCAACACTGGGACCCCCTCTGGGGCTTCCCATAGGAACAGGGAGCTCCCAATGGGGTGTTCTTGGAACCCTGGAATGGTTGGGAGGAACCTCAAAGGCCATTCAGTGCCATGGGCAGGGACACCTTTCACTATCCCAGGTTGCTCCAAGCCCCGTCCAACCAGGCTTGGACACTTCTAGGGATGGGGCAGCCACAAGTTCTCTGGGAATTCCATCCCAGCCCCTTACCACCCTCACAGGGAAGAATTCCTTCCCAATACCCCACCAAAATTCCAGTGGGAAGCAATTCCCACCTTGTCCTGTCCCTTTAGGCTCTGGAAGGGGCTCTAAGGTCTCTAGAGCCTTCTCTTCTCCAGGCTGGACATTCCCAGCTCACCCAGACTATCTCCATAGGCAAGTTCCCCACTTAAAAGCCTCACACCAGGAGGAGAAAGTCAGGAAGAGGCCAGACACGAATGTGGGAACTGTCACCCCAAGGCCAGTGACTGTGACAACAGGGAGAGTTTTGGCTGCCAAGCCCCACAATTAGCACAACCAGTAAATTATTCCCTCTGGATGCACCTCTCGTGCCTGATCCAGGGGAATGAGGCAGATCCTCACCATGGAGCTGCATCCACAAGAAGCTTGTGGGGCTCAGCTCCAAACCAGCCCCGTAAATTCCCTTCTCTTGACCCGGCAGTGGAAAAATAAGAGCCCTGGGTGTTATGGACAGCTTTGAGCCCGGAAGGAACGTGGTTAAATCCCTTAATCAGGATCCAACGAGGGAAAGCCGCTGCCAGGAGCTGGGATAACTCCAGATCCGGCAGCAATTCTGCTCCCGTGTCCTGGTTTTTGGAGCTGGACTAGGGTGGGACAGCCCTGGAGAGCCAGGCTTGGACGTGCCAGCTCCCAAAGCCTCACCCAGGCTCCAGGAGGGATTTCGTATGCCCAAATCCATGCATGATCTTCTGGGAATGTCCTGTAAATCCCCTGGGTCTCACACTGCTCCTGGTGCTCTAGAAAGTGTAACAGGAGCTTGGGAGTGTGTGGGGTCATGGATGGCCTGGGATCACCCAGCACAGCTGCTCCAGAGCTGGGATTTTCCCTCCATCCTGGCCCAATGCAGGAGCTGGGCAGGGAAGGAGGTCCCAGCCTCGGCTGGAAAGGGCTGGGGAGGGCAAATCGTTCCTGGCAGATTTGCTGTGCCTGGTGGGTTCATCCCACAGCGAGCTCACATCCCAATCCTCCCAATCCCACTTTTTGGTGCCCTAATGCTATGAGTGGGAGGCAGAGCAGAGATAGGAGCCAGCAGAGAGCAACCATCACCATTCCCAATAGTCAGGAAGAGCCTGGAAGAGGGAGCCAAGCCCAAAATCAGTGTGATTCCACAGACATTATCCAAAGGCCTCCAGGGCTGATAATCAAAAACAAGGAGCAAGGAAACACTACGAAAGCATTCCTGGAGGCACCACAAAGCTCCAAACTCCTGGAGAGGTGGGGGGTCACCAGGGTTTGGGGACTCCCAGGAGCCTCATCCCCTCAGGATCACAACCAGGGAGCCAAGCCCAGAAACAGGGAGCTGAGCAATTTCCCAGCCTGGTGCGTTCATCCCACTCTTCCTCCTGCTGCTCCCACTTTTTGGTGCCCTAATGTCGTGAGTGGGAAGCAGAGCAGGGCTAGGAGCTCTCACCATTCCCAGAGTCAGGGAGGAGCATGAAAGAGGGAGCAAAACCCAAACCATGGAGCTGAGAGATTTCCCAAAGGCCTCCAGGGTTGATAATTAAAAACAAGGAGCAAGAAAACACTTCCTAAGTGTTCCTGGAGTTTGGTGGCCCCCTGCCTATCCTTCGGTGGCCTCAATCCCTCAGGATCACAACCACCCAAACCATGAGGAACCCCAGGGAGGGTAAAACTCCCTGGAATTCTGCCTCCAGCTGGCAGAAACCAGCGACCCCTCTACCTTTTTTGAACTCCTCCAGCATGGCATCAAGCTTGGTGTCATGGAACACGACGTGCACGGGGTGGTTGTAAAACTTGGTGATGGTCTTGAGGGCAGTGCAGTCATCAGGGTCCACGAAGGCCAGGTCCTGCACGTAGAGGATGTCCATGATGTTTGCCCTGTCACCCTCATAGACAGGGATCCGTGTGTACCCGCTCTGCATAATCTCAGACATGGTGTTGAAGTCCAGGACGGCATCGCTGCTGATCATAAAGCAGTTGGGCAACGGGGTCATCACGTCCTCCACCGTCTTGGTGCGCAGCTCCAGAGCACCCTGGATCATGTTCAGTTCCTCCTTGACCAGATCGTTGAAAGACTCTGTCACCTTCAGCATCTCCAGGAACCTCTCCCGGTTGTAAACAGTGCTGATCTCTTGGCCCAGGATGCAGTCCAGCAGTCTGCTGATGGGGTAGGACAGGGGAAGCGTGAGCAGCATGAAAAACTTGGTCACTAGAATGGTCTTGGCACCCACAGCGAGCCCATGCCGGGAGCACAACGCCTGGGGAACAATCTCCCCAAGGATCACGATCCCCACGGTCGAAGCCACCACGGCACCTACGCCAGAGCCGGTCAGGTCATCCAGAAGGATGGTGAGGGTCGTGTTGACCAATACGTTGCCCAACAGCAGCGAACAAAGCAGGTAGTTTCCTTTCTTCCGGATGGGGCTGATCCTGCGGGCATAGCGTCGCTCCTTCTCCGAGCCACAGTTCTGCAGAATGCGGAGCTCGATGGGGTCGAGCGCCATCAACCCCAGGTTCAGCCCGCTGAACATCCCGGACAACCCCAGCAAAGCGGCGATGAGAGTCACCTGCAGCCACAGCGGCAGCAGGGACTTCTTCTCTTCCAGGACCACCACCTGCCCATCGGGACCCTGGTGTGGCAGCCAGGGCTGGCCGGGCCGGCGCTGCGAGCACAGCACGTAGGCCTTGGCCTTCTCGTGCTTGCGCAGGGGCAGCACCCGCAGCCACAGCAGCACCGAGGTGTCTCGGGGCTCGGCGGGGCCGGGCCGCACCAGCAGGTCCTGCGAGCGCTCCCCGCACGTCTCGTTCACGGCCGGGATGGCGTCCGGCCTCAGCTCGGCGAAGGCCACACGCTCCGCGGCTCCCGGGCCCAGCCCCAGCCCGTAGAGCCGGAGCAGGGCCTCGCTGCCCTCCGTGAGCCGGATGGGCCCCGGAGCCACCCCGGCCACGGGCTCGGGAGGCTTCGTGCTGCCTTCCAGCCGCAGCCCCAGCACTACGGTGTCGAGAGCGGGCGTGGCGAGGGCGGGCTGCGGCAGGAGAAGGAGGAGGAGGACCGGCGGCAGGAGGAGCCCTGCAGGCAGCGAGGCCCACGCGGAGGCACCGGAGCTCCCGGGGCCGCCTCCAGCAGGACTCCCGCGGCTGCTGCCGCCCGCCATGTTGGGCACTGGCGGGACCGGCGCGAGCGGGGGGCGGACACGGCGCGATGACATCATAAGGGCGGGACTATGGACACGCCCCATGGGCATCAAATAGGAAGACCACGCCCATTTCAGGCGTAATACAAAAGGACACGCCTCCAAAGGAGGATCACACAGCTACACGCTCACATTGTGACGTTGCTCACCTGGACACCTGCCCCCATTTACGTGGTACAGCACGCCACGCCCTTGCTCTGGGAGCCACACGACTGATCAGACCTCCCTGCACTGCACGTGCTGGGTCACGCCCCTGGTATGACTGGTCACTCGCTCAAACCACGCCCCCGAAGGCAGCAGAAGGGGGGCACTAGGACCCGTTGGGGATCGGATTGGGGCACAGGGATCTGGATAGGGGGCCGCTAGAACCTGGGGTGGGCACTAGGACCTGGAGGGGCGGGGGGCACTAGGACCGGTCCCGCCCTCAGGCCTCAGGCGCCCTCAGGCGCCCTCAGGCGCACAGAACCACATTACCCACCACCGCCCGCGCACCTCCCTCCTTCCCAACTTACAGACAGCCCTCTTCACCAACCATCCTTGCCAAACGCCCCAGTGGGCGGGTGCAGCTGCTCGGGACAGCCAATGGGCGCGGGGGGAGGGGCGGTGGAGAGAAGATGGTGGCTGTGGGAGGGTGGCGGGCCGCGATGGTCCTGCTGGCCCTGTTGGCCTTGGGGTTCGACCGGGCTCGCGCCGAGCAGACTGAGGAGCACCTCAAGCGCGAGCACTCGCTGTCTAAGCCCTACCAGGGTGAGCGGGGCGGGGGGGTGGTGAGCGGTGCACGGTGCCGGTGCTCCAGTACCGACGGTGCGTGTGGTCCCGCAGGTGTTGGCTCGACCAGCTCGGGGCTGTGGGACCTACTGGGAAACGCCATGGTCATGACCCAGTTCATCCGCCTCACCCCCGACGTGCAGAGCAAGCAAGGAGCCGTGTGGAACCGCGTGGTGAGGGGGGGGCGCCGCGATGGGGGGGGAGA